TGCCCCCTTTCTCTTCTTAGACATCATGGAAGCACTAGTTGCTAACCTCCGGGCAAACAAGAATATCACCAGAATTCAAATCACACACATCCCGGAGGAGGCAATCCCGGTGTGCTCCCTCTTTGCGGATGATCTCACAATTTTGGCAGAGATCACTCACAACAACATGAAGGAAATTCAGCAAATGATGGAAAAGTTTGCTAAAGTTTCCGACATGACAGTCAACTGGGGGAGAAAACTCAAGGATGGTGGATTCACTACCAAGGGGGACGCCCCCCCGAGTCACCACGTATTAAGTGGATGCCATTAGAGGCCCCAGTAAGAATTCTAGGAGTATCTATGACCACTCAAGGACGCCCTTCGATCAACGGCGAATGGATCAGCGCCCCGACGCAACGAAAACGAGATAGCTGGAGAAATAAGCACACATTCCTTTTTGGTCACGCCCTTATAATTAACAACGTAGTCGTCGCATCTTTATGGTACAAATCGCTACTGTGGCCACTAAGCAAAACAGCCTTAAAGAACTTAAAGAAAAAGGCCTTCTTATGGAGGGGGGACGGTGAGCAGAACAATGTGATCAGCCGCGTGGCGTGGGATTCAATTATCCAACCTAAGGCGGGGGAGGCTTGGGAATAATTGACCCAGCCACGCAAGTACAAGCGCTACGTCTAAGATGGATTAAAAAACTCATTTTCGTCCCCCAGTGTCCATGGTGCACATTGGTTTTGGAACATCTGGCCCGACTGGCCCCAGAGCCCCCCCAAACAACCCACCCGCTAATATGGCTTGAGGATCGGTTCTGGTCGATCCCACGTAAGCTCCCCCGAGGAAGGGAGGAGTTGGATGGAGGCGACCAAATTTCGGACAACTTCTGGCCATCCTTGCTGGAAACCTGGCGCAGACTTCCGCTCCCTGATAGAATCTACCCTAACCGCTGGGAAGAAGTCTATCGGCAACCCCTCTTTGGAAACCGATGGGTGACAAATTTGAGGGGTTGTGTCATGATAAGTTTGTCCTTGCCTTGGAGAAGTTGGGTAAAGAGAGGGGTCCTTAAAAGAAGGCGACTGGGTAGCAAGCACGGAGTCCCCACAAAGGATAGGACTGATACATATGGTCTCACCCCAGACTGTCCTGGTTAAACACTACACAATCACTAGAGCAGACGCCCTTCAAGGCAGCAGAGCCCCCTTCGAATGGAAGGAGAAAGCATTTGTGTACCGGGTGAGAGTCTTAGAGGAGAAAGGACAGAGGGAGGTGCTCCAGCCTTTCAAACCAATCCAGGATCTGGCCCTGGACCCAGTAGAATGAACATGGGAACCCTCCCAGAGGAGGGGAGGCCCTAAAGGAGGTCGTATCAACCTCCACCAGTTGTCGGCCAAATCAGCTTATAAAATGCTCAGACCTAAAAGACGGCTAAGAGACGTAGTAAACGACCGATGGGTCAGACACCTAAACGTGGACCGCTCCCTTCTATCTCCAATTAAATGGTTCCAAGCACAAAAAGCAAAACCTATGAAAATCACATCCCTGCAATGGCAGATTGCCCACCACTGTTTGCCAACAAACGACTTGCTGACTGACTGTACTAATTTACAACAAAAAGGTATGCTGCTCCCGTGGTGCCACCGGTGCCAGAGCCTTTTCCCGTTCAACAAGAAGGCGGAAACCGTCGAACACATCTTCATGCAATGCCCGATCGCCCAACTTATATGGAGATGGTGGGATCGCATATGGAGAACGATGGAATCAGCAATCCCTTGACCCTGGTCCTGGCAAGCCATATTAGTTGGCCACTGGCCACAGGCAGAAACAACCACGACCTTTTTTTTTTTTTTTTTTCCCCGGGAACAAGGCTCCAATCTATTCATGGGAAGCAGCACATGCTGGGAACCGGGCCCAACGTCCCATATGGAAAATTACATCGAATTTTTGAAAATTTGAGATACCGGGGCCATTACCCGGCTTTGGCTAAGAAAAAATTTGAGCTACTTAGGATAATACGACAAACTTCAGAATTGGATAAGATTCAGAGTCGCCCCCATCAATCCTCTTCACCTCTCTCCGCCAAGACTTACTGCAACAGAGCCACCATCTCCATTGCTGTTGTACCCTATTTCCATCCTACCAGCTAAGCCCTGTACTAGTAGGATGCTTGATATCCCACCATCTACTCCTCCCACTCACCTAAAAGACTCAAACCCCCAATCCATCCCTTGTACCCCACTCCGGCAAGACTTACTGCAGCAGAGCCACCATCTCCGCTGCTTTTGTACCCTATTCCTGTCCTGTCAGCTAGCCCTCTTGCTAGTAGGACGCGTAATATCCCACCTTCTCCTTCTCCCACTCGCCTCAATCTCTTTAAAAATCGTCTTAGCAATACAGAAAACATAGAAATAGACCTCCTAGGTCCTACAAATGCTCAAAAACCCTTGAAACCCCTAACAAACCCTTCCAAAGCACTCCAACACTGTCCTACTCCCTGCCGAGCTCTTCTAGGTCTCACACCCCCACATCTTGCTGGGTTACAGGGCAACACAACTCACCGCAACTCCGACCAGCGTCGTCCCAGCAGCAACCCTTAGTTGTCCCGTGGAATACCCACCCCAAAGCATCCCCAAATCTCTCTACCAGGCCTCACGCTCCTGCGTCAGCAGGTCACAGGGCAACATCCCAGCACCGCCCAGGGTCGTTCTGGCATCGAACAGCCATAGGTCACCGAGTCTCACAACATCAAACCACCTAAGAAGAATTGCTAGGACCCAGGGTCCAAAAACAGTCTTAAGACCACCAATCAACCATCCACGTATGGTCAACCCTGAGATCTATTTTTTGAGAGTTTTTTTTTTTTTAAATGAATACATTCAGCCCTCCTATTTCCTTTCACCCCCCTACTCTTCTTCATCTCCCAACGAGTCGACCTCCTCCACCACATAGTTCGGGAAAGAAGAATAATAGACCAAACGACTTCACCGAAAACCCATAGCGATGAAAGCAAACTTCAATTATTCCTCTTCCTACGACAAGCCTTCCTCCTCCTTCGGAGGAAAAAGTAGTTCACTCCATCGCAAAACGGGCGCATCACCCTAACCTCCCATCCCCTTACCGCCTTCCAGCACAGACTTACAACAGCTAAGCCACCATCTCAATTGCAGTTGTGCCCTAATCCAATCCCGCCAGCTAGCCCTCCTCACCAGCGGGACGCAATATTACCCAAAAAAACTTCCCCCCTCCACTTTAGTCCCACGCTTGTTCCATAGGCAAGTAAAGGACACCTGATCCCCACCCACACTCTTCCTAACCCCCTTATTCAACTGCATCCCACGACAAGCCGACCTCCTCCACCCATGGTTCGCTAGACGAAGAAAAGGTGAAAGCGGACAACCCTCAACTTCCTCTCGCGACAAGCCGACCTCCTCCACCACATAGTTCGCAGAAGAAAACCGAAAGTGATCCACCATCTGAAACTTGCCATCCCTACCCAAACCTCCAAAACTAATCAGAACCTTCACCTACCTGCCCCAAACCAAAGCTAACTCATCAGGGGAGGGCAATCCGACTTTAAAAACCAAGTTCAGTCATGAAAATCAAGGGATTAGAATTTGAAAGCTGGTTTATGAGTATCAGAACTTCATGCAACCGAGTTGAGTCATGAAAATCAAGAGATTAGGATTCAAAATCTGATTTATAAGTATCAGTATCAAGCGGGGGGGGCAAAACTAAAACTACCTACTATCCTACCCCCCCCCCCTCAACAGACGGAGTGTCAATCCAGGCTTTCAGTCCTCGTACCAGAGCTCACTTGATCTCATACCCCCTTCTGCTAGGGTAACAGGGCACCACAACCTTCCCCAGTACCGACCAACCTAGGTCTGACGGACAGGAAGTGCCTTCCTCCCTCGACAATTCCCTTAGCAGCAAGCCCCTAAAAAGGTTACAGGGTCAATACCCCGGCGCCGACCACGTCGGACAGTCTGGTTATGCGTTCGGCATAACTTCACAGGCCTCAAACTCCCCCTAGGTCACAGAGCACAAGCTCCAGCAGCGGCCTGTGTCGTCCCATCATCGTCCTTCTAACCTATTTACCCTAAACGACAACCTTCCTCTGTTGAGAACCCTTTACTACCTTCCATCCTCCAATTCTAACTTCTCCCCCTTGATTTTTGAATAGAAAATCCTTCAGAATCCTACTTTTGGTAATTACTAATCAAGAACAAATTTTGGGAAAAGGAACAACAAGATTGAAATTCTAAAAAATTAGAGATCACTATTAAAA